TGTATTTTCTTTACACAGAAATTTATGTTTCTTTCTCAACTGAATTGGACAAAATCCTTTGAACATTACTTGCAGTGAATTTTCCATTTCCTTACCACCCAGTTCTTTAACCTGGCCCATATTTTCTCTCCCAGTCAACCAATTACACTACGCCTTTTTTTTTTTTAATTATTTACGCAACCATGCTGAGATTGACATTTTGGTCATCACTGACCTCCTTTTAGACATATCTAACATAAAATGTTTCTTATCACAACTCTATTCCTATTCCATTTCCTTTTATTTTATTTATTCTTGCTGCCATTCTTGACCCCTCTCTTTTCCCTTTATTTTCCTAGGCTTTTAATCTGTTTTGGTTTAACATTTGCCTTTTTTAGTTGATTTTATTCTTTCTTTTTAAAAAAATAATTTTAATGAACATTTACAGAGAATTTGGATTTCCATTCATTCACTGCTGCACTTCTCTACCCGCCCCGCCCTCTCCCCCCGTCCCCCAGTTCGCTCCTCTCTTTCAAAAGTAAAAGAAAGACTCCCTCCCTGGTACCCAATTCCCCCCGCAGCCCTCCCACTGCCCCAAGTACATTCCACTACGCAACCTTAATTGTGGACTCTTGTGATAGTTGATTTTTAAAAAAAACAAAACAACCTTTTATTCTGACTTGGATGAAAGTTTACATAGCAAATGGATTTTCCATTCAACTTATCATACTCATCTTATGACATCAGTTACAATCCCCACATGTTTAACAGAACCCATCTCACTTCCTCCCTATGATTCTTGTTACCACTCATCCTCCCATCAAATCTCCCTGCTCTCTGCGCTTTTGATCTCAAATGGTTGACTGTTCAAAGGAGAGATTGCCTCCCTAGTATTATTGGTCACTTTGAAAGCCTGTCATTAACATTTAACTCAAACCAAATCTCCAAGTCAAAAGTCTTGTCTATTTTTTGTTTTTGTTTGTTTGTTTTAAATCTCATGATATAGTGACATATAGGGACTCTCATATAAGACAAGTTTAACAAAACTGAACTGATCATTGTCATCTTACCCTCAAAGTTGGTTTCCCTTTCACATCCTAGTGGGGATTTTGTTTCCAAATATATATGCAGTATTCTGTAGACTGCATTAAAATGGCTACACTTCTCCGAACATTTGAAGGACAAATTTTAACATGGGAGGTTGGATATTATTTAGAGAGAGCACAGCACTGGGTTTTAAAGTAAGCCATTACACTATGGTCAAATAAATACAGAAAAGTGTAAACTCATGTCATTGCAAGCTCATTAAAAGTCCATTAACAAAGCAAAACAGGAGTTGTGTGTGGAAGAAATCTTAAACAAACAAACCATCAAAACAAAAGCCCCAAAACTGTTTTCGTCCAGTTGACCCAACAATTGAGGGTTAATGAATAAAGAAGAGAAGGGAAAGAAAGAAAAGTTGTAGGTTGACCGGCTAGAAAACTAGTGCTATCAAATAGGATGAGAAATCAAGTTGTTTTAGTGAAAATGTTTCTTTCCAAATTTCTTGAAGGTGATAAAAACATTATCAAAAAATCTACCAAAAAAACCCCAAAACAAAAATTTAAAGAAATACAAAATACCAAAACAATAAAATTATTACGAGATTTTTAAATCATCTTGTTGTTGTTGTTACGTGCTGTCAAGTCGCCTGTGACTCATAGCAACCCTGTATACAACAGCCCTAAACTCTGCTCTAACACACCTAGCCCCACTACCCTACTGGCTGAAACAATCCTTCTCATTGAGGGTCTTCCTCTCCTGTGCTGTCCCTCCATTCTCCCAAGCATGACGTTCTTCTCCAAGGACTGGTCCCTCCTTGCAACATGTCCAAAGTATGTCAGATAAAGCTTCATAATCCTTGTCTCCAAGGAGCATTCCGGCTTCACCCTCTCTAGGACGAACTTATTTGTTCTCCTAGCAATCCATGGTATATTCACTACTCTTCTCCAGCATCACAGCTCAAAGACGTCAATTTTTTTTTCTATCATCCCTTGTCATTGTCCAGCTCTCTAATGCGTAACAGGCGATTGCAAAGACCATGGCATGTGTCAGGTGCACTTTAATCTCCAGACTGACATCATTGCTCTTCAATACTTCGGAGAGGTCTCTGACAGCAAATTTTCTATAATTTATCATTATAGACCTAAAATATTAACAAATTGAATAAAAATCTCACAGTGTTAGTCCATATTCTCATACATTCTTCTCCTTATCCTCCACTCCCAAGCAAAATTTATCTTTATTTTCCTCATCAACAGTAGCGTATATTAATGTAACAGCTTCATGATCCTGAAGCAATAATGATCACAAATAAGCCCTAGAAAAGAGCACGTTTAGGTCTTGTAAATGAGCATTGTCAATCTCCTAAAGATACAGAAAAGGCAGGAATCTCTAGATAGAAAAATCAAAGTATCTGTTAGTAACCAGATTTCACTCTGAATGTTTCTTCATTGTCAATGTAAAGATTAAAACACTGATAGGACACACTTGACAAAGGTGTCACTTCCTCAATGAGAGCAGCAGGAATTCTCAGCAAATTTGCACCCAGTCTAAATGTAGTGAACATTTTAACGTACTAAATGTATTGAGTGCTAAGTGGTAAATAATTTATAGTAATAGTCTATGAGATTTTCTTGGTGGTTTTGTTTGGTTGGTTTTTTTTTTTTTACCTTTTTTTAATTGCAATTTGTGTGAAAGTTTGCAAAGCATTTTGTGGGGTATACTATGGTGGTTTTGTTTTTGTTGTGGTCCTCCCTTTAACGTCTGTCCACTAATTTTTCTATTCCCTCTTTCCCCGGTAATCATACTAGTTTGATTCTCTCCATAAGGAAACTTTTCTCTAGTTATTATAGCAATGTTCTTTATTTTATTTCATTTTCCTAATTATTTATTCTTTTTTAAAATTTTATTTCAATAATTTTAATGAACATTTACAGAGATTTTGGATTTCCATTCATTCATTGTTGCACTTTTCTCCCTGTCCAGCCCTGTCCCCCCACCCCCAGTTTGCTCCTCTCTTTGAAAAAGTAAGAGACAAATTCTTTCTTTGGCATACAATCCCCCCGCACCCCTCCCACCGCCCCAGGTACACTCCACTGTGCACCCTTAATTCTGGACTCTTGTGATAACTGTAATACCCTATCATATATTGCTTTTAAATTATTCTCTCCCTCATCTGTTTCAGTTGTAGCAATGTTCTTAAACAGTATTTGTCCTTTTGTGATGGACTTACTTCATTCAGTATGATGTCCTTTGGACTCATCCATGTTGTTCAATGTTTCACAAATTCTTCATTGTTTTCTAAATGCTGTATAGTATGCAGTTTTGTGAATGTACCATACTTTCTCTATCCATTCACTCATTGATAAACAGACTATTTAAATCACTTTTCCTTTTTGAATAATCCTGCAGTAAACATGTGTGCATATATTTGTTCATGTCAGAGTTCATTTCTTCAGAGTATATTCATAGTAGTGGAATAGCTGGACCAAATGGTACTTCTGTTTTCAACTTTTTTACGGAAACATCAAACTGCCTGCTGAAGTATTTTCTCTGTTTTACATCACCACCAGCAGTGCATGAGAGTTCCAAACTCTCCTTAGCCTTGCCAGAATTTGTTGTTTGCTCTTCTATTGAACTTTACTATTGTTGCCTCGATGAGATGATATCTCATTGTTTTTTAGACTTGTATCTAATAGCTTGTGAGGGAGCTCTGGTGACCAGGTAGTAAGAAGCTGTTTTGCAATCCCAAAGGCATATGGTTTGAATCTACCAACTCTTCCACATGCAATTTACCGCCTCTGAAAATCCTCTTAGAGGGTCATTTATGAGTCGGCTCCAACTCAACGGCACACAGCAAACAAAAACAATAGCTTCTGAGGGGAGTTATGGTGATAAGAAGTTACACTACAATCCCATACGTATATGATTAGAATCCATCAGATGATCATCAGGAGAAGGACGGGAAACGTCCTCCCATGCAATTTACTGCCTCTGAAAATCCACCGGAGAGTCAGCTATGGGTCAGTTCTGACACGATGGCAAGCAATAGCAACAACAATAAAAATCTTTAGATAACCATGACTGAAGAAGTGAAATAATATATATGTACATAGAGAGATATAGACATACCCTGAAGTACTTTGATAGGCCATTTGAGACTTTCCATGTTTTTTTTCACTTCTTTAGTCATGTTTATCTAAAGATTTTTATTTCAATTGTCTAGTGCAATTGACCAATTTTCAGCATTATCCCATCTGTTCTGATTGTTAACATACTTCCTGTTAGACTTCTAACTAGTGATACATAGAGTTTTTGCTATATTTGAGTGCAGTAAACTTGAGCAACTAATATATTTTGATATGTGCTTGCTGTTCTTTAGAATATTTCTGGTTAATAAAGAAATATCTATGTAAATACAAACTGCTTCAGTTTGAAAGGGAAATCTGTTGTGTTGTGCAAAATAAAAGGATTTTATAAAATGCTTAAATGTTTAGTTTTACATGTCTCCGTAAGGTGAAATATTTTATGTTAGCTACACTACTGTTTGTAACATAAATTCCCCAACAATTGTTGGTAAATTAAGAATCATATGTTCTTCATCTCTTTCTTAGACCATTTATTGATTAAAAGCTGTGTGGATAACACCTGAGGAGATTAAATAAAAGTCCCATATGAATAAAAACTATAGTAGAAATTTTAGAAAAACTATCATAAGTGTGAATTGTAAATAACTGTGAATTCTTCTTTGACATTTTTTCTATCATTTATTTAATATGTTTTACGTGTTTGTAAAAAAATTTACAATTAATTGTATTTGTTTCTTAATATTAAGGTAAGTGCATACAAATGTATTTCAATTGTTGACCTATAAATTAACTGAATGATTAACTAATTTTGTTTTTTTCTTTTTCTCTCCCCAGAAAGGACAGTATGCTTCTCTGAATTTTAAACTGTGGTTGTATTAATCAAAAGCAATCATGGTGAACCTGAGGAACGTGGTGCACCAGTTCCTGTAAGGATGCTATTTATTACCTATATTAATAAAAATAGTATTTCTATATGCACTGCCAGGCCAAAGTAAAGGGTTTTACTCCACTAGAGAGTACACTGAAAAAACAAGGGCAATCTGCTATGGTGTGATTTACAGTGTCTGAAAACCTGCTGAAGGATCAGCTCTGAGTCTGTCCTCAATTGATGATACAAAACAACAACAGATAAAAATGTTAATTGCTTTTGTATTTTATTACATATAAAGCTCTTTTCCTTTATATGAGCTGTATTTGCTTCAATTCCAGGGAGAACAGATAAGAATGCTCTATGATGTGAGGGCTATAGTCAATTTCATGAAACAACATGTGTGATTTATTGAATGGTAAAACCATTTTTTGAGATCTTGATACTTAATTTCAAGATTTGGTGTCCTATTTTGCTGCAATGACTAATTAAAGGCAGTAGAATGCAATTAAAAGGTCCCTACGGATAGTGGATAAATTCCGACTTGATTGATCTTAATTTAATAGTTGTCGTTATGTGCCATCAAGTCAAGAACAACTCATAACATCCCTATAAACAACAGATCTGAACCCTGTCCTATCCTGTGCCTTCCTCACAATCTCTGCCATGTTTGAGCTCATTGCTGCAGTCATTGTATCAGTCTACCTAGTTGAGGGTCTTCGTCTCTTCCGCTGACTCTTCCCTTTTCCAAGCATGATTCTCAAAGGAATAGCCAGTCTGGGCAATATACCCAAAGTATGGGAGATGAAGCTTTGTCATCTTTGCCTCAAAGGAGCACTCTGGTTTCACCTTTTCCAAAATATATCTGTCCTTATGACAGTCCATCAGAGGATATTCAGTACTTTTGTTTCAATAGTACAGCTCAAAGGCAACAATTCTTTTGTCATCTGTATTCATTGTCCAGCTCTCTGATGCATAGCAAATAGTTGAAAAGGCCATCATGGTCTGACATAGACACACCTTAGTCTTAAAATTGATGTAATGGCTCATCAATAACTTGACAAGGTCCCTGACTACAGACTTTGCCAGAGCAATATGTCTCCTGATCTCCTGACTGCTGGTACTAAGTGTTGATTTTGGAGCCAATATGAAGCTGACAGGTTCAGTCTTTTCTCCATCTATCATCATGTTGTTTATTGGCTACACAGGTTAGGACAGGGTTTATATCAGTTGTTCATAGTGTCGCTATGTGTCATACTCAACTTGAAGGCACCTAACAATAACATTGATCCCAATAGTGAGAATATTTGTTCCCTTGACCTTAAAATGTAATCCATATTGAAGGCTGTAATCTTTGATCTTCTGCAGTAGCACTTGAAGTCCTGTTCACTTTCAGCAAATAAGGTTGTGTCATCTGCATAATGCAGGTTGTTGATGAGTCTTCTTCTGATCCTGATTCCTCTTCCTAGAGTTCAGCTTAATGAATTATTTTCTCAGCATACAGACTGGATATGTATGGAGAAACAATACAACCCAAATGCACATTTGTCTTCATTTAAATTACATATTGTTTCCTTGCTCTGTTCAAACAACAGCTCCTTGATTTAGATATAAGTTTCACATGAGCACAATTATGTGTTTTGGAATTCCCATTCTTCTCCATATTAGTAATATTTGTTATGAACCACATACTTAAATGCCTTCTCATAGTCAATGAAACACAAATAGACCTTCTTCTGGTATACTGTGCTTTCAGCTAGGATCCATCTGACTTCAGCAGTGATACCCTTGTTGGCACGCCTTCTTCGAAATCCAACTTGTACTTCTGACAGTTGTCTATGCACTGTTCTAGCTGGTTGGAATGATCTTTAGCAATATTTTGCCTTCATATGATATTGTTTGATAATTTCTCCAATCACATTTCTTGGGACTGGGACCAAAGACTTCCAATCAGTCAACCAAGTAGCTGTCCTCCAAATTTCTTGGTATAGAGTCTTGAGTATGTGTAGGTCTACATCTGTTAATCATGTAAATTGGTATCCCAAATGGATTCCTGGAGGGTTTTTTTGAGTCTTTGTTTTTTGGTGTTGGTTTGGTTGTTGTTGTTGTTGTTGTTGTTGTTGTTTTTGGACAATGTCTTCAGTGAATCCTTCTTCAAGACTGATTTTTGATCATATGGTACTTCCCTGAAATATTTCAGTATTGGCCAATTCTTTTTGGTACAATGATTGTGTGTATCCCTTCCATCTTTTATTATTTGAATTTTTATTTTATATTGGTTTGTATACAAAATTCATATACATTGTGATTCACACTTTCCTTCATTCATACTGTGTTTCATACAATCATTCCCATACATTGTGTTTTATAAAATCAATCACCATTGAATACTTCATTACCATTAAAGATATTTTCCATAACATCTCTCAGTGCTGCAATTTGAGGCTTGAATTTGATCTTCTGTTCTTTCAGCTTGAGAAATACTAAGCAAGTTCTTTCCTTTTTATTCTTCAAGTCCAGCTCTTTTCACATTCCATTATAATACTTTAAATTGTATTCTCAAGCTACTCTTTGAGTCTTCCTGTTCAACTTTTTTAATTCAGTATATCTTTTCTTTGTTTTGACTTCTCAATGCTGTAGTATAATTTTCAGAATTTCTTCTGATAAGTATTTTGGTTTTTTCTTTCTCCTGGATATCCTTGATGTCATCCCATAGTCATCTGTTCTTGAATCATTGGTGCTTCAAATCTATTCTTAAGGTAATTTCTAAATCTAGGGGGGAAATATTAAAGATCATATTTTGGTTCTCTTGGACTTATTTTCATTTTCTTCAGTCTCAATTTGAACTTGCACATGAGTAATTAGTAGTCTCTTCCACAGTCACTACCTAGTTAATTTTGACTGCTGCTATTAAGTTTCTCCAATGATTTCTTCCACAAATGTAGTCAATCTGATTCCTATGCAGTATTATCAGGCGAGGTTATAATTTAATTATGAAAAAAAATAGAAGAATCTGATATGAGAAAATGAAAAAAGTATTTGCCTCTATTTTATTAGCCTTAATGAAGTTCCAATTTAGATATATAAATAAAAATTAACACCTTAACACGTATTAAGTAATTTCATTTTCACAATAAGCATAGGAACCATTCTTCTTATACAGATGAGGAAATGTTTTGAGGACTTAAATTATTGGTCAAATAAACCTCAAGTTTACATAGTCAAGACATTAACTACATTATAAATATTAGAAATCACGTAACAGTATCATCAAAGTCCAGAGCAAATAACTTACTTTGATTTATTTGTCTTTTATTTGAATACTTGGCCACTTAAGCATAGATGAAGAATGAATGATATAGATCATTAAATCATGAATTGCTTTCCTTATTATTCATGTTCCAGGAAAATAGTACAGGCAATATTTTAAAGATTGCATTGATTATTTTCCATTATTTGACAAAAATTACTATATATGTTCTACTCTCAATGTTGTATATAATACAGATAACATTGACTTATGACGTTAGTTTAAACTAAATATCTAAAGTATTGGTTTTCTTTGCCTTGTAGAGTAAGAAAAAAATTCTCAGTATTATGTTAATGCCTTTAAAAATAGAAACATATTATCTATTAATAGTAACCAAGAAAAAGAATTTCTGAATGTACTAGAAAATAGTTAAAATAGATTTACTTCGGTTTCAATAATATTAGTTTTCAGATTAAATGTTCCAGTTAGTAAATAATTATTATTTGATAATGATAAAATAATAATCTAATATTAATCTATATTTATCAGATGATTGACATTAAACATGAGTTAATCAAACCATATGCAGTTTTCCCTGCCTAGAGGTAAAATTTCCAGTTCAAAGAAAATGTGGATAAGATCATGAGATATAGATACTTACGTGGAGAACTCTAGAATTCAATATTGTAGATGTTGTCGCCTATGCTCCTGCTCACTAATTCCGGAAAGATTCTTGCATCAACTGCCTTGCACAGAAAATCATTTCATTTGTATTTTACAAGCAGAATATTTCCATTCTATATAGGAAATCCTTATGTTGTTGTTTTATTGCTTAAATAACTACTACTATGCGTGGAATACACACAAAACACTCATTTTCAAATATTTTTGCTTTAAAGAAGATAATACTGAACATTTTGCATGTTTGGTGTAATTTCTTAAGGAAAAGATCTGTGTTTTATTATACATATAGCTAATATACATCTTGAAGATACTTAATTTAACCTAAATACATCTCATATGAAGGGATATTATTTGGGAATGTGCAAAAGACAGTCCCATCTACTGTTCTTGCTTAGTCTGTTGTTGTGTGCCATCCATTGGAACCAACCCATAGCTGACCCTCCAACGGGTTTTCAGAGGCAGTTAATTGCATGGGAAGAGATTGCCTATTCTTGTGAAGAGTAGCTGGTGGATTCAAACCATGTGTCTTTGGGATTGCAGCATAGGCTACCATCCTAAAATTCCTACAAGTAGAAACTACCTGAGTGATATCATGACAAATGCTCATTTTAAATGACTTAAATAATTTTGTTCCTAACCTAGGAAAAATCTTAAACTCATAGATGTTAAAACCAGAGATTGTTACATAGTGTAAAGCTTGGTCCAGAAAACAGGATAGAAATGAGATTAGTGTCAGGTAATAAGAGGTAAATAGAACAAGACATTAAAAAGAAAAAGAAAATACAGTTTAAAGTTACTCTGAAAGTGTGAGAATTTTGGAAGGGATCTAGAAAGAAATAAACATTTATTGGTGCCAAACTTAGCTATATGTTTTCCAAAACTTTGCCTGATTCTTGTCTATCAGCAGCTTGCTCCTTCTTCTTTAGATGAAAAGAAAGCAATTTGCAGTCTTGTTGTTGTTGTTCTGTGCTGTCGAATCGCTTGCTACTCATAGCGACCCTATGTACAAGAGCCCTAAACTCTTCTCTGTCCTGTGCCCATCTCACTGTCTCTGACACACCCACTCCGATTACCCCAATCCACCTCATAGAGGGTCTTCCTCTCCTGCGCTGTCTGTCCCTCC